GGGGGGGGGGGGTCCCAGCAGCAAGGAACATCTATTGTTCCTCAGAGGCCCACAAGAGGGCGCTCACGGACAACCCACAACCAGTTAGGGACCAGGGCCTGGTAGCCGGCAGGGTTTACCCTTTAAGTTAGGTTCGAGCTTGGACGTGAACCCGAGAAAGGCCAGCAATATGGACTCCGTTTTCACACACGCCCTGGGACATGGGTGCCCATGTCAGCATTATAATCAGTATCATTATATAGTTAGTACCAAGGCAGAAAGGGTGAAGGGCGGGTGAATGGATTAATAAGTGTCCGACCTTGAATCCTGGGGGTCCCTGTGCTCCAGGCAAGCCAGCCATGCCTGGATTTCCTCTCTTCCCAGCAGGGCCCATGGGGCCAGGGGCCCCATCGTCTCCTTGTTCCCCCTGTAAAGAAAGAGGGAAGGAGGCTCTCTCATGTTTCCAGAGATGCAGCCAAGGAGGCAGGATGGCTCAAGGCCTGGGTGGATTCTAGGCAGAGCTGAAGGCCAGGAGGTCAACCTCCAGGATGGAGGTCACACCACCTACATATAAGGATGGCTGGACCAGTGGATAGAGGAGCTGAGGACTTTAGAGTAGGGAAGGGGAGGGATCTTAAAAACCAGAAGCTCATCCACTGGGCAGGGGATGACCTCCTGGGTGCTGGAATGGAGGGGAGATGGTCAGGAGGGTCACACTCCCAGGTCTCAAGGGATGAGGCAATTGTCCACTCAGGGAGCTTCTGGGTATGTTGGTTCTGCCCCATCCAAGTTTTCAAACCTGCTCCTCCTGGCCCATGGCCCATGACAGCATCCTCCCGCCCCCAGTACACACACACCTCATCTCCAATGCAGATGCCCAAGTCCTGCTCACCTGCTGTCCTGGTTGCCCATCCCTGCCAGGAAGCCCATCTGGTCCAGCGACACCTTCGGGGCCCTGTCTCCCCACCACACCCCGGGGCCCCGGCAGCCCCTGCAGGCCCTGGAGGGACACAAGGAGCTTTTGAGGGCTTCTGGGGAGGGAAGGGGGGCGGATGGAAGAGGAGCCGCTGTGGGTCACTCACCTGGATCCCCCTCCGTCCTGGTGCCCCTGCCTTGCCTTGCTTTCCCTTTGGTCCCTGAAAAACCAAGGGACACCTGATGGGGGCTGCCTGGAGGAGGCACAGAACCCCAGGAGCTCTAGAAGCAGGGCACTGAGAGGATCATGGGCCCGTGTGGCTTGGTGCCTGCCCCTCTACCTCTTGGACCTCAGCATCTGAATGTGCAAATGGGACCAAGTGCCTGGCCTGGAAGCCCAGGGGCAGAGCGGGCCTCGGAACCTGCCGGTATTGTCACTGACTCTGCTCTGTGGGGGTCTCCCACTGGTCCCCTGCTGCAGGGGCTCTGGCCATTGGCAGTTTCCTGGTGGGAGCCAGAGCCCACTGCTGGCTGGTCCATTTGATCTTCCCTGTGGTTCCCTCCCTTTATCATTGCCCTCTCAGCCCTGCCTCCTCCTTGCTGTGTTTGGGCCAGCCTTTCCCCTTCCCAGGGCCCCAGTCCCTGCTGTGGACACCCAGTCCTCTTACCTCTTCCCCTTTCGATCCTTTGGGTCCCGGCCGCCCCCGGGGTCCCGGATGCCCCTGCAAACCAAGGTGAGATGACGCAAGGCAGCCCCAGGATTCTCTCCCGGGGAGGGTGGCCAGTCTCCGCCTGGAGAGGGAGGGGTGGGGAGGGGTTT